TTTGAAATGCATTATCTAAAAGTGTAATTAGTTTGTCGTGTATTTACATGAAAATATCTTATCCGAACCATTTTAAAGGACCTGAGCGTTTGTTTTAAGATGGCTATCACCTGCATTTAAAATCGATCTCGGCAAGATTCCTTCAAACTTTGGTGAGTACCTCCTAATCTATTGCACTTAAAAATGTTTTAATGTGAGTATTAGGCTCTTTGACAGTCAGATGAGCCATAGAATGTGTGTATTTGAAAGAATATATTATGTAAGGTAAGGTTTTGACAGGGGGTGCCTTAGTCACCCCGGTGTCCAATGATCTGGTCGGGTGACTAAGGCCCCAATTACACAGGATAAGGCAAGCTGTGCCGAGGAGCACTGACGGAAATGGTTACACGGTGGGCAGAATCCGGATAATTTATCCGAATAACCGGTTAATTCTCAATGAATCGTTATCCGGATTCAGACTCCTGACTCTCTTTTGTGAAAATGGTTCTAACCCACTTGCTAAAGTGGTTCATAACCCATCTGCAGAAGAGGATCAGACTCTCTTTCTAAACCCGTTTGCACAAACGGGTCAGACTCTCTTTCATAACTCGTTTGGAAGAGGTTGTTTCCCTTGTTTTAGACTTGTTGACTTAGCCTTCAGACCTTGGCATTAGTGTCAGAATACGTTTTTGTTAGTTGACCTCTTTCTCTGGGTTTAAAGGGAACACAATGTAGTTATCCCCCCTGAACTGACATGACAAACTGTGGCTTACGGGGTTTCTGGGCTAGGCTAAAGGTCATAATATACACTGGGTCTAGCAGATGGAAGTTAATCACGACGCGTTGAGTTGGGTGGGAGATATGACAACACTAGGATTGGCGGCACGTGTGATGGCGAGTGCGACTCGCGCCTTTAAATTTTGAAGACTGAGAAATCCTGTAGCTCGTTGGGTGTCTTAGATCTATTTGTATTTTGACTTTTGTAGCGTAGGCTACGTTTACGTTTTCATTGTTCACTGATCTATATATTGTAAAATTGAAGATTAGCAGACCACCTGGCACTAAAATCTGTCGCCATCAAGATCTAGAGATAGGCCTAGCTTTCTATCTAGATTTAGATTCTAGATCAAGATAGATCTATTATTTTGCCCCCCCCCCTATCTACACCTCCGCCTCCGTTCTTAATGAGTAGATCTAGATCTAGAATCTAATGGTGGTCTGCAAATGTTGAAAGAGGCCCTATATATTTTTGGAGATCGCTTTTGATGTGTGCGAGCGCGCACGTGTGTGCGTGTGTGTGTGTGTGAGAGAGAGAGAGAAAGATTGGTGGGGTTGTCGTTTTCTTTTCTTTTCTTTTTTTTTTTTTTTGGGGGGGGGGGGGGGGGGGCGGCAAGGACGGGGTGCGGGCCGGTATGGATCAATGCAGTTAACAAAACAACAGCAAAAAAACAAGAAACTAATCATATAGCTGGTAAAATTACTAGATCTAGATCTATCACAGCAGCTTCCCTATCCGAAGGAGGGCTAGGTGGTTGTGGTATTGTGAATGATGTCAGTCATCAACACCTTCACGCAAAGGCTTTTTCGGGGAGGAGGAAAAAGAGGGGCGGGGGAGGGGGAGAAAAAAGAGTTCGGGGGAGGGAGTTGGGACCTTGACATGATTTGACGTCACATCCTGCCCGCCTGTCGCTGTCGCCGGTACTGCGGTGGTGAATCAATTTACATACCACGTTTATTTTGTCCCAATGGATACTTTCTCCTATCTCTAAACAGATGGGGGGAAATAGTTGGCGCAGTTTCTTCTTACTGTTCACGTACAAATATAACTAATGGATCTGTAACTTTGAGAGAATTAAGACTTTTGTGATGAGTCAATAATTGTAAACTAGGATATAAAAAGCAGGGTATCTTTCAGAACTTAGCGCCGACCGGATCACAAGCGATTCGCAACCACTTTGAAAAGCGATTCACACCCACTTTATAATGGGGTGCGCAGGAAAATGGGGTTAAAATCCGGTTATTCGGATTTTCCTAATGGGGTGCACCAACATATCCGGATTTTCCAAAAGCGACTCATTGCCCAGGCCTTAGTAACATAGTGAATGTTTTAAATGGAGGCTAATTGTCGTAAAGCCATCACGTGGACACACGAGGGATGTAGGCCAAAGTTTGCGACTCAGGGCACGGTCTCAAGGTGGCTTGACGGAAAATGAACACACCTCACTTTCCTCTTTTCCTGGAAAAGCACGCTCTGTGTTAAAATGGATGATTCAAGGGAACGTTCGTCTCTCTCGCCTCCTGTTGAAAAAGACATTGATGAAAGATCAGAAGACCGAAACCACTCTCTGATTAGATTTGTTAGAGAAAATTGTTTTATACACTAAAAACAACAAAAGGTGTTGAGATCGAAACCTGACACAAAGAACATGGACACAAATAACGTTGGAACTTGGACTGTCAACAGAATTTTTCATCATCGTTCTTAATATTTTCAAAGAGCGTATGATACTCGCCAACTTGTTGGCCGTTCAAATAAATTGAACGAACCCACACCCTCCTTGTTTTCCTATCTATTTTGCTCTCCCATCGTTTTTCCACAACTACAACACCATAGGATCCATGGCTAGATTGACACTGGCAGATCTAAGTCCCTTGCACGGCTTGTGCGGAAATGAACATTAATCATTTCCACTCAAGCCGTACCGTGCTGGGGTTATGATGTCAAATTATTCAATTACACAGCACAAGCTGTCGAACCGCAGGACAGAGGGACAGAATAATATACCGGTACATACCGCCTGAAGAGAGGCGGTACGGTTAGGCACGGATAAACACTGTTTGCCTTATCTTGTGTAATTGGGGCCTAAGGCACCAATAGCTAGTGACTGTATCTTTTGGTTAATTAAGTGATATTTTGTTATTTTTCATACTTACAGTTTCTTATTTTGTAGTAATACATCTTTTTCAAAATATCAGGTCATAACATATGGGTATACTTGTTAAGATTTTTAAAAAGAGCAGTATGTATGTATTTGTTGATCATGAACACAGATTTGCCATAGGCCTACTTGGTTACGGTACCGATACTTGTTCAACCACCAGGAACTCTTGATCTTACTGTCACATTTGGAAAAATGAAACGAATGACCTGACAAATTGCAATGAATATTGTTTTTAAAAATGTTCTACGTACAGTATCAGTAACCATTTTAAGGGTTTTTTTCTGTTGTCTTTTTTCCAGATTTTATACATTGTATAGACAACATGCTGCTAAGAAGCTACACAAACCAAAGCCTGGGGCACGAGTATAAGACAAAACGTCTTATGATGTACTCCAAAAAGGACAGGACGAACATGCTACCAGGAATTCCCAGAAGAGTGTGTTTACAAAGTACAGAATCACACACTAGATCTAAGTGTTTCAAAGATATTTGGAATTGAACCAAGTGGCTGAAAGTCGACCATCTCCTGGAGGCCAGATTGTTCTGTCACACCACCAGGACACGGCCAGGGTAGAGCTTCCCTCTTTTTCATTTCAGAGAGGGGTTTTCCATATGACACCCTAGACCTGCGCATAATCGTCAAGAGATTTCTTGACAAAGACAGTGTTACAATTTCGAGGATCAAAGTTGCCTGGGGAAGACTGGGTACATTGTTTTATAAACAGCTACCAAACCAGGATCAAAACTTGATGGTAGGATTTTGCAAAATAGGAATTAACCATCTGGATAAACAACCAGTCCTCGACAGACTTCCACGCGATCTTCTAGATTGAGACTGAGAGGAAGCTAATAATACTGGTACCGGTACTCCTGTTTTTGAGGCATTCTCGAATCGTCTCCTTAAAATGCAATTTGGCGATCCGGCTGCTCCTGCAAAGAGTCCTCGTCGCAAAAGGATGGATATGGCGCCCTGAGAAGAGCATTAGGGATGATCCTGAAGGAAGGCCGTCTGTCTCCGCTAGTAATGCGGTAGACCAGTACAACCAAAGGATGAAGAGCTTGCAAAAGAGGAACTTCTCTCCTCAGAGTCGGACCACACGGATCAATCTGACACTGAGTGGGAGTCCCAGACTAGCGTTGAAAAACCAGAGATAAACCAAGAACCTCTTTGAAAAAAACAGATAAACCTAGAACCTCTCTGAAGACTTCGAAAAGCGAAATTCTAATGAACATTTCGAAATGTAGATTAGATCTGGCACGGTCCCATGCATATATGTCCTGTATTGTTATTTTTCATCATGGGGATACGTTGCAACTTTGATTCGCCAAAATTGGTTAAATAATTACTGGTAGGCCTACTTTAAATGTAATAGTCATCACTGTGAACTGGGTTTTTTGTTTTGAATGAAATGCGGAGATTTTGTCTACTCTTTAGAAAGTCAACAGACCATATTTCTGAACTGAAATGCAGTGGTCTACACTTCTTGTAGTATGCCTCAGTTACCCTGATGTGGGATTTACTTCTTTTTTTTTTATAACAAAAAAAAACAACCTTTATATATTAGGATGCCTTTGTCCCCCTCATATTTCTTTTTAATTGGACATATTTGCCCCCAAAAGGGTTTAATTGGACACTCTTCATCCATCCCCCTAATTTGAACCAAACATTAACTTAAACTTATAACTATTTTAATTATGAATCCCAGAAGCTAAAAAAGGTGCCTTATTCAACTCGATTTTCCGTACATATTCAAATAAACAAAGAAAAGGGGACTTTTTTTGAACGAATGAAAATGGGATAACTTCAAGCCGTCATCGGATAGCTCATAGTCATCTTGATAAGATCGGATAAGTGCGCGCTTTTCCGGGCTTATCACTATGCATCGACACCTCCACTCACGATTATCCGAACGGTTCTGCCTGGCTCTACACCAATTGTATAAGCAGTGCATCAACATTGTGTTTCATAGTGATAATAGTCGTTACTCACTTACTTTTACTTTTGCATCCTCTGTTGTCGCTAAGGAGATGCAGTTTTCTGTGGTAGGCCAGCTCTGCAGCTCTTTCAATTGGGCGTGCCGAGGTTACCATCTTTTGCGAGGCCTTCCTCTTCCTTTATAGCCTGAACTCAAATGCTTTGTATTATAGCTGGCTGGCTAGGTGACATTCATAACAAGTGGCCAAACCATTTTATGATCTGTTTTTCTATTAAATGAGGCAGGACTCTGTGCCAATAGCTGCTGTTACTTCTATATTTCTCTGCCTGTCTCGTCTAGTGATGTTAAGGGTTTTGCGGAGACATGTCATATCGCATGCTTTCATATGTTTTTCTTAATATCCAGGTCTGGCATTGGAAGCAAAATGTTGGTATAAATGTTGAAGTGATAAGCTGTCTTTTTGTGTCCTTAGAAATGTTTGGATGAAATAGGATGGGTGCGAGCTGGTAGCTGACAGCGTTGGCTTTTTGAGTTCGCATTTCTATTTCTCTGTCTATGGACCTGTTTTCAGAAAAAGTGCCTCCAACTCCAAGATAGTTAAACTTCTTCACATAGAATAAAGTAACATGGGGATAAAATAAAGTAGATATTATTGAAAAGAAATGGCTAGTGTTCCTTTCGGCGTTTAGGGGATCACTCTGTTACGTCCCCCTCCCTTATCCAACTAACTGGTGGCTTCTGTATCTACTTTGTTTTCCAGGTTTCTGCCTTTGCAACTGGGATGACCACTGTCCAGATTCGCCTTCGGCTGGTGGGACATCAAAGTCAGACTATCACTTTCGAAAATAGAACATACTCAGATGGAGAGATAATCTGTGAAACGTTGGGTCAATTCCAAAGCTTGCAGCTGCAAGGTAACGGATCGCAGCTCACCGGTGAGTTGACTAAAGAGTGTTCAAGTACACAATATTAGTTTTTATTTGGAGATTTTTAAATTCGTTGTTTCTTTCCTGGGGTGGGGTAGTTTTTTGTGTGTTTTGGTCTGTGTGTTGCTACTGTTGATGTTGGAAGGAGATGAAGAGAAGTTAATGTTCTCCAGATTTGTTGGCAATTGTAGTGCATCTACTTTACCTAAAAAACAAAGTCTGTAAAAAAAAGTTCAGTTGCCTCCCTTCGTTTTTGCTGAAACTATATGTTCCTGTGATTATTTTATACCATCGACAGTAAATTTGGGTTGTAGAGGTTTATCCATATCTTTATGGCCTTTACTGTCTATGAATCAGAGGGGAAAAAACAGCTTCAATAGAAATCAAAGATGTTGATTCACAATTCAATAAGGCCGATTGGTTTTGTTTTTTTGTTTTGTTTTTTTTTTCACAGAAATGCATCCAATTCTGGTATATTGCTATAATGTTTTCTGAAATGAAAGAGTATATTATGTGACACACGCAATGATCTGTTCATGAAAGAAATATACATACATAATATATATATATATATATATATATATATATATATATATATATATATATTTGTGGTGGCCGAATTTTGCTATTCAAAAGGCTTTTTAATGGCTGCATCGATCGACATGCGATATTCGCCAAAAGATTCTTTAAAATATTGTCCAGATCATGGCGCCCTTGGTTTTTTCAATTTTGAGATAGTTTTGCTGCAAAAAGCTAAATTTCTTTATTTCGCCGATTGCTTTTGTTGGCCCACGCTTCGGTCTCTGTAATTTTAGAAAATCCGCCAGGTTTGTTTATTTCAAGTCGTTCTTCTGTTCGACACTTTCGCGCATTGTCCCGCAATACTGAGCACTATTTTAAGTGTGCAACCTCTTAATAGATCTAGCCTCATGTTTTCTTTTTTTACTTAGTGCTAAATTCGACTGCGATCCTTTCGTTTAAAGCCCATCATCGCTGTTTCTGGACTCCTTTGTCTGTTATAAATTTGGCAACTTGGAAACACATGTGTAACTTTTCTCTCAAGATGTATTGCTCCATTCCAGTAGAGTGTAGATATAGTAGGCCAATGACTTCCAGTTGATGTTAATTCACCGATTATTCCTTTCATCGAAAGGGGGTCCAGCTTGTTACTATATATATAGTGGCGTCCAAAAGAAACTAGAAAATTCAGTCACCCGATCATCGTGTTATAAGCTTGCACTACCCGCTCATACAGCATACCAATGTACAGTTGAATAAATTCTGCATCATCAGATACATTGATATATCATTTATCTTAAGAGACGCCTTAGATATGGTCGCTCAAAATTGACCATAAAAAATCAGGCTTGGCAAAATTGTGCGAATCAGAGAAACGCAAAAGTGTGTTCGCTCATACATTGAAGTGCATCAACATTGGTGGAATGGGCATGTATTGAATATCAAATCAAAAGAGAATATCATTGTCTTTGCAATGAACAGCATTTTCTGATGATATTTTTAACACATTGGAGAACAGAGCAGTTATAAATACCTCACAAAAACCTAGACTTAACTTAACATGTGATCATTAGTGTTCATTTTGTTTTTGTTTTGGAACTAATGGTTTCGTGTCGAGCACGAAACCTTTCTTTGCACATGAACTGTGTCAGTTAGATTTTGGACATAATGATCTGTCAGTGAGAAACAGAAGTCACGAAACTGCCATAATTCTGAGTGGTCTAGGGTGGAATGATTAGAACCGCCCTTGTGGGAATCACCGGATGGTTTGGTTCACCCCCAGTGGGTCGGGGGATATAAATAGACCCACTGCTTCGTCTGCAGAGGGTGCAACCCCCTCAAAGGCGGAGTGTCGCACACAGACCCCAA